GTGCACCTGCTAGTCCAAACGGCATGCGTTTAAATCGATATTGCGTCTGACCCACGATGAAAGCCGTCTTATCTCTGTCACTTTGTTTTATCGGTATCTGCCAGTATCCTGAGCGAAGATCGAGAACCGAAAACACATTCGCACCTTGTAGTCGATCTAAGGTTTCTATCACTGTTGGCATGGCACACGGTCTTAACTCTGTCATACTGTTTAACTGTCGGAAATCAACACAGAATCTATATTTCCCATTCGCTTTTTTTACTAACAGCACTGGAGAGTTGTATGGGCTATCAGCTTCCTCAATAATATCATCTTTTAACATCTCTTGCACTTGTCGCTCCACTTCGCCTTCCAGATGACATGGAACTCTTCGCGTTAAAAATGACCTTACTTTAGGATCACTTAACGGAATTTCATGATTCACCTTATCGCAATAACCGTATGGGTCCCATCTCCAGTGAACAGATGATCGTATTTATTAATTAACTCTGTCACATTGTGTACCGTCGACAGCTTAATCGCTGCTATCTCGCTGGTCTCATACATGTTGATATGCCCGTATTTCGTGATCACCACGTTCGCTTGCGTGTCGATTATGGCACCAATCTCACGCAGAAAATCCGCTCCTAATATCGTTCGCTGTAGTTCGGGTACAACAATGAAAGGAAACGTCACCTCGCAGCCACCAACAACGACCGTACAGTTCGATCTACCCGTGATACGCAACACATACCCGCCTACTGTTTGTACTGTCAATGAACACGGATTAACACTCTTACATAAATTCTTATCTATTAACGACACGGCCGCCCTGTATCTATCAAACATACTACTTCTCGATCATTCACTCGCAACTTCGAATACAGAGCGCCTTTCTCAATAGCCCCCACTAAACCTAGGTTCATACGAAAGAAAGAACAAGCATTATACCGTCTGAAATTTTTTCTTTTTCGCCTTTCTGGGCAGTATCTTCTCCAGTGTCCCGGCTTACCGCATTCAAAACACCGGTCTTTTCTATCAGCCAACTTTAACGCCGCCACTTCCCGCTGCAATGCTTCAATTTTTGCTCATATTCGTTTGGTTTTGGTTGGTCTATAGCGGCTACCGTTGTGCTCAGCAGCTGTCTGGTCACCTTCGCCAGCTCACTAATATCCATCGGCTGCGTTGCGTTAACCAGTTTTAATCGCTGAGAAATGTGGTCGGGGACACTCTCGATGAATTGGGAAGACAGTAACTGCGCTTCTGATTCTTCATCTAAAGTGGGAAGCGCGCGTCGAAGTAGATTAGTCAGTTTCACCGCCAACACTAGCGGGTCTCCATCAGGTCCAAGCTTCATTGACCGGAACTGCTGCATTGCTAGCTGTCTGTCTGTTTCGCTGTCAAACTCGGACACTAGTCGTTCAACCAATTTCTTCCAAGACGCTGTGCCATTTGACCTGTCTACGCTGTCATATGCAGCCTTCGCTCGGCCTCTCAACAGCGTCCCCAGGACAACTGCCTTCGCCGCCTGCTCCTTGACACCCACCAGCTCAGCAACGGCTTCGAAGTCACGTAAGAAGCTCCGTATGTCACCTTCTTCAAACGCAGCTGGCCACGGGATCTTCATCTTCTTGGAGGCAGCGACACCAAATGTAACAACAGAAGACAAGGGCTGGCAACAGATCGTTTTATTACGAAAATCAACACGTATTTATATATATTTTATATGCATTAATAAGGCTTATGCAAGCAGAAAAAGGCAGTCTTCTGATTGGTTGTTTCTCGGAAGTTAAGCAGACAAACACAGTCTTATGATTGGTTGTGTTCGATATTTCTCGGAAAGTAGAGCCATCTATCTGCGAATCATATTTGTCCACATTTAGGTTTGCTGTGATTGGTTGTTGAAACAGCCTTGTTCACGGTCAATATTAGTGACCTAGACATTAACGTAGATTAGTGCCAACCAATCGGCTAGCAGCCTGCTCTCACCACACCAGTAGCTCTACTCCCAGTGGTATCAAAAGTACTGGAAAGTATTATTGACGAAAAACATCAGGGAATATTTCGATAGGACTAATATACTACATGAAGCCCAACATGGTTTCAGAAAAGGCAGATCCTGAGTCACTAACCTACTGTCAGCTTGGGACGACTGTACATCATGCTGGGACTTGAACGTACCAGTCCATGTGGTCTTCCTAGACTTTGAGAAGGCATTTGACACTGTTCACCATGACTTTCCCCCACATAAAATAAGCCAGGCAGGCATAAGTGAGCCACTTCTGTCATGGCTGAACGACTACCTGGCCGACAGGCAATTTTGCACTAAAATTAACCGAGTCCGATCACCTTGGCATAGATCGTCATCAGGAGTGTCGCAGGGTTCTATCATAGGACCACTGATGTTTTTGATTTTTATCAATGATCTACCACGCCGTCTGAGCTGCCTGACTCTTCTATACGCTGACGACGTAAAAGTATGGAGGGCGATAAAGTGTCCGGAGGACTCAGATAAGCTACAGGAAGACCTAAACCTTCTGGAAGACTGGGCGGTGGCCAGTGGCACGACTTTCAACTTGAAAAAGTGCAAAGTAGTGAAGTTGCGCACCTGTAGACTGCAGAATGCAAGTTACACCATGTGCAATGAAGGCTTGTCCTGCACAACGTCGGAACGCGACTTAGGTCTAGTTCTAACGGAAAAAATGGACACAGGCGTAAATTACACAGGGGATGTAGCGGGGGCATATGCGGTCATACACTTTACGCATAGACAGTTAGGTGCACTCACTCCTGAGCTCTTTCTAATGTTGTACAAAACACACGTCAGGCCACACCTTGAGGTGCATAATATTACTGCACCCCCAATGCTGAGAAGAGACGCCAACCTCTTGGAAAGAGTCCAACGACGGGCAACAAAAGGAGTGGTTGGTCTCCGAAACAAACCATATGATGAAAGGCTGAAGAAATTAGGCCTGTTCACACTTGGCTACCGTCGGCTTAGGAGGGATTTGATTACTGCCTACAAAATAACGAATGACCGGAATCACCCAAACAAAGGTGTTCTGCCATTGAGTAGGTATAGGCTCCCACGTGGAGATCCCAGAGGGATAGCTCACCAGAGGGCAAGGACCCGGGTGCGCTCCCACTTCTTTTCACTGCGGGTTTGCCGTCCCTGGAATTCCTTACCGGCAGATGTAGCTATGACACCGTCTTTGGACGCCTTTAAGCGAAGGCTGGACAACCATGCAGCGACACAAGGACTGCATCCAAATGGCCTATCTCCTTAAAATCGCATACACCATTCAGGGGTAGACAATTAAACTCGTCGTTTTACTTCTCTACATATTCTCCCGTCTTACTCTCCTGACAACTTATAAATATTATAATTACTATTATTATTATTATTATTACCGATATATATTATTCTTCAAACTTGATGAGCTGACTGTTGTTACGCTTTCCTATTTCCGTTTCTGTCTCTTAGTCTGAATAACTTCACTAATTATATCTATTATTATTACTATTATTATTACTATCTCTTTTCTCTTGTCGACGATACCGAAGGACTAACTGGCGAAAGGATCAACTACAATCACAGTAGTAACAGTCTTAACATACCTCATACTACAAACCACATATAATTAATCCCAGCACTACTCCCTTTGGAGTCAACCAAAGCTACGACAGTCGATTGGCGGGACAAGCTACGCAGAAGTTTACCGAAGATCAGGAACCTATACCTTACAATCAAGAAGCGAGCACAAAGAAATCAAATTGGTTTATACTAGCTCGTAAAAACGATATTGGATATTGGCTCACCTAGTGGGTATTGAATATTGGAAGTATTAAGTGCAAAATTTGTCAAGTGCGCTACGAGGAAAAAGCGTGCTCTTGGCTAGACGGATGTCGTACACGCTTCGAATGTAATTTATGTTATAAGACTGTAGTCTGTCATAAATTTTACTCGTTTCTGGACATTCATATGTCCGGTTGACTATTTATGCCTTCTGATCATCATATCTGATAGTATGGTGTGAAGTGACTTAATGCATTAAGTTCGTAATTCATGTATTCCTTGAGGTACTGTAGCAATATTTTGCCGGGAAGAGAGTTCCGTGAAAGTAAATCACACTGGTTAAAGTACTTTATTGTAAATCACACAACCACCTAAGAGTCGGTGGAGAATTGTCACCTAAAAGTAATGAAAACCAATGGTGTCCGTCAGGGATGCCTACTGTCCTCATTTCTGTTAGATTTTGTCATAGATCCACTAATCGGATTGACCCCAACTGACTTCAGAGACTTAGGGATTGACTTGTTACCAGGAAATAAATTTGTTCACTTAGAACATACAGATAATATAGTCCTCCTGGACGAGGACGCTGATAAAGTGCAGAGTCCTGTGCTCCGAAACGCAATTATATGCATAAGACTATCGTAAGATTTTGCGATCATTATTTCATTCGGCTGTTTATTTGTGTCAGTCATAATTGACTATATGGCAGTTGGTAGTCGCGGAGAATATAAGTCTGTAGTTAGATAAAAATTAATTCCTTGAAACAACTTATTTATCACATTAGCAACTTGTGTGGGTTTATAGTATTTTATACCATGTGTATATTGATGTTTACTGTTTAAGGGTTAATCATGTGAGAAAGTGTGGATGCAGAGACGTTCATCCGTATATTTTGTAGTAGAAACCAACTGAGGACTTACATTTTTAATGGTTAATATATGTGGTGCACAGATTTTCTAGTACATTTTAATTTTATAATTTACAGAACCACACACTTTATAACCATTTTCTAATTCCGATTTTTCCGGAACACAGGCAATAAATAAAAAAGTGAAGGATTTCCTACCAAAGACTGACTATCTACTTAACAATTAAAAATCGACCATTATTTGTGCACCAAAAAAATTGGAGCTTGTTAAGCCCACCTTATTTCCACACTACCAAGGCCACTACCATTCATTCTCGTTTCTTAATACATCGAGGTCAAGTATTACCTGAAAGCACGATGAATTTTTTTCCAGGTACGAGAAATACATTTTCTTAATCTTATTAAAAAGCCCCTTTTTCCCTAGGCACAAGTGATATGCAAATTACAGATGTTTTACCAGCCCGCGTTGATGAATGCCCTCAAGATGTTGAGAAGTCCGTTGTGGTATGAAATATATTACCAAACAATTTATTATCGATTGAATTTCTAGAATTGCCAAATTGGCAGTGTATTTTACAGCAGCAAATTGAAGTCTCCGCTAAGAGATTCCAAGTATGATATGGTGTTTACCTTTGTTAATGGATGCGTAATGGATTATTTTTAAAATCATTTACTTTTTCATCTTTGGAAAACTTGTAACCCAACGGTTCCGATCACCGTTTTACGTTGTGTATTAAATAATTACAAAGGTGTGCTCGTGCCATTCTGCATGTAGTTAGATGTATATTGCATTAGCTCACATACTGCATAGTTTGTTGATTTTGTCATGGGTCGTTGGATATGTAATCTGACGACCACCCTGGAAAAAATCCGTAATTTATAAATTGATGCACTGTAGCCACTCGGTACATTTCATAATTGTCGAAATTCAGTCAGCTACTGAGGTTTAAACAACCATGAAGTAATAGTTCTCACAAAATAGGTAAATTCGGGTTGTTGATCGATCTATGCACAGAAAATCAGCTGCTGAATTCCATTGTGTATTTTAATTTACCTGGTAGGGATCTACATGTATTGGGTTGTTGACCGTAGATACCTGTAGTTTATAATTTCTTGTGGAATGGGTTTGACAAATATTTTACCAAGAGTATTTAAAGTGGAATAAAGTTAAGAAATGAAAACGTGATGTTAGAAACTGGTAATCTGTACCATATAAAGAAATTCACACTGTTTAATTGGGATTTCTAAAGTATTAAAACCCAGTGGTCTGAGCCTTTTTGATGTAGTTCAAAGTTTATCACAAAACCATGAATTTATCTAATATCGGTCTTCGAAACTACCACCATCTTATTAAATTTTATGTATATAGTATGTCACTGACAGTCATTTTCAAATGAATGGGTGATAGTTCCTTATTTGTAAATAGTTTTATTTAACGCTATGCTGAGTAACGACAGCTCATAGCTTGTTTCATCAAATTTGATATAATTGTTTTAGTTAATTTAGTTACAGTAGACTACCACTAGCTTACCTTACATACTTTTTACAAATCTAATATAAGCTTTCAAAATATAGGCATCCGGGATTCCGTACTCATTAGCCAGTAGTATATCCCTTTCCACATAAAGTGATTAAAAGTTGTAAGTAATGGGCAAAAATATCTTTGATTGACGATCCTAGGGTTAAACTAGCACAGAGTTTGAATTGTTCAAAAGTCCCAAAATGCATTAACAATTCTTCAGATAACGCGGAAACTGTCTTCAACAAATAATGTCACTATTTTTTTTCTCATCACGCTTTGGTGGTTCAGTGGTAGTACACTTTCCAACTGTGCACATGGTCCAGGGTTTGACCCCTGGCCGATATACTTCTAAGTCTCGCTTAGCCGATAGTAAGATTGGTGAACAAGGAAGGTTGGACGTCAGGCTAGGAACACCATCTCTATTCAAAGCTCAAGCTTAAAGCTGTATGTCCCACTCGGAAGGCAAAGGAATAAAAAGAAAAAAGGATATTTCTCATCAGGATTTTAACTTCATCTTATTTATTGCATATAACGCTCAAACTTTATCATTTACTAGTTATTTTGATTTTCTTGATATAGTTACGCAACTGTTATTTACAACAAAAGAACTAAGACTGTTGAAGTTATACACAAGAAACCTGAATTTCTTGAACCATGCTTTGATGGTAAGAAGCTTCGCTTTTTCTGATTCATATTCTTAGATGATGTCATTGAGATTCCAAATGCATTGAAAACTGATGTAAGTTAAAAAAAACCCTTTCAACAGTTGGATCAGTTTTTTGCTTGTTTTATTAGCCTCACATTTTTGGTTAAATGTGGAATTTGAGGTCTTGAGTGCAGAAGTATGTTCAAGAAAGTACATGACATTACTAGAGGTATTTTACTCTTATGCTACTAGCTGTTTAATCTGTCTGTCTGTTTTCGACATAGAACTTTGCACAAATATGCGGAAGTTCAAGTCGCCACACTCCGTGTAGCACGCGAAGCAAGAGAAGAAAGTACAGCTGTTTAGTATAGCTGTTTAATGGATAAGTTATCCTTTGAAGTGGCTAGTCGTTATGGTTTCCTTTTTGGATATGTAAGCCTGTTAGTTGGGTTGCCTTGATAAATTATGCAGTGAAATGATCTAAGCTATTCCTCGCATAAATGGGCAATTGTTTTTCATAGAATATAATATGTGTCATTAGGGTTTGAAGACTAAAGGTGATCAAGGGCATCGCAAGATTAATTTTTACCACGAGAAAGAAAATGATTGGTGAGTGACAACTTTGGAATGCATATAACCGGTAGTTAATACACGATTATCGCTTGCAGAATTTTCGAAAAAAATTTTCAGACAGATATCGAATGGAAGGTACTGAGTTTTTTTATATAGTGTCAGTTATTACGTATACTGATAATTTTGTGACGTCGCATTGAGTGTAATTGAGTGAACTATTTTCAAGGTTTATAACGATAGGCTGACAACATATATTGTCACGTATGTGTGTGTGTGTGTGTGAAAATGAAGCAGTGAAGAATGCTAAGAGATTTTTCAAATATACTAGCCTAGCATTTCAAGCTGTTAAAGTAAATGCTTTAAGCATGAAAATAAACACATTCTGTACGTCCGATTGGGACATTCTATCAATTCTTTAAAGGAAACTATTCAATTTTATTAAGGTAATATTATTGGGAGCAAAATTCTTGTATTATCTGTATTTTACCGTGTTACATTTTAATGTGTTGTAGTACTTTGCTATTATGCATGTGATTATTTTGATCCTTGCGGAGCTGAAAAAATTGTATCGAATCTGCTAGTATGGGTTGCATTTTTCTGTGCATCGGTGGCGCAGAGGTAGAAGGCTCACCAACCACGCAAGTGGTTCGAGATTCGATCCCTGGCCGACGCACTCCTAAACCTCGCTAAGCCAGTAATAAGACTGGTAAGGAAGAAAGGTTAGGCATGAGGCTGACAGTTCCATTATGGGTGAAATTTATTTTGATAAAGTTCCACAGTGTTATGCAGTAATATTTACTGATGACGTTTCGAGCACAATTTATTGCTCATAAGCGTATCAAGGTACTCACACAACTTTCTAACTTCGTTTATATAATTCTGTTCTTTTATATCGCTTGACTTTATTGGTAGTAATATTTAACATATTTCCAGTATGAATGATGAGCCATTTCTATTGCATGTGTTGGGTGTAAACCAGGATCCATTAATCTACCTCTCTCCACCTACCCATATTGCTTCTTAGAATTTCAACGCTCTCCCACCCTATTGTGTGGTTGTGTATTAATGCATGTAGTGCAATCGCTGAGCTTTTTTTTCTAAACTACTTATTTTCGCGGGGTCAACCATTCTTACCATAAGAATTTAGCTAAGGTAAGAATGGTTGACCCCGCAAAAATTTAGAAAGTTGTGTGAGTACCTTGATATGATTATGAGCCATAAGTTGTGCTCGAAACGTCATCAGTAAATATTACTGTATAACACTGCTGTGTGATTTTATTAAAATCTTTTATCCATAATGGAGTTATGCACAAGTTTTATTCTTTTATCAATGAGGCTAGCAACCCCACCCCGTAAGACTAAAACCATTGCTACCGAAACTTCAAAGCACTAGTTTGAAGCTCTATGTTCCATTGGAAACGTAAAGGAATAACATTTTAAAAAGTACTTATGGTAGGTGAGACATTTTTATACACTTTCAATAACTAAAGCTGTCACCAATCTGAAACTAGGCAAAGCAGCGGGACCTGATGGAATCAATCCAGAGGTATTTAAGTACGGTGGAGACAGCTTACTGTCCGGATTAACTGAGGTACTAGGCAGCGTCTGGGAATCAGAAGAAGTCCCATCGGGTTGGTGTAAGTCACTGATTATCCCGATATACAAGAAGGGAGACAAGTCTTCCTGTGATAATCACAGAGGGATTAGCTTGACTAATATAGTATCTAAAGTCTTAGGCTCAATAATCATGCGTAGACTGAGTGGTGCTCGGGAAGCACAAACACGAGAGAGCCAGGCAGGCTTTAGACCAGGAAGAGGGTGTATTGATCATATCTTCACCCTCCGACAGATTCTAGAACATAGGCATTCCTACCGGCGTCCAACAGTCATTATATTTCTTGACCTAAAGGCAGCATTCGACTCTGTCGATCGGGAAGTTCTCTGGAGATGCTTGGCTGTAAAGGGAATTCCAAGAAAATATATTGCACTGATTAAGGCACTCTACTCGTACTCATACAGCCAGGTGAGGGCTTACGGCGAGCTGTCATCTGAACTGATGACGACCAGTGGTGTCCGTCAAGGATGCCCATTATCTCCTTTTCTATTCAACTTCATCATAGATGTGTTAATGGACTTAACCCTAGGTGACTTCAGCGACTCAGGGATTGACTTGCTACCGGGGAATAATCTGGTTGACTTGGAATATGCAGACGATATAGTCCTTCTAGGCGAAGACGCTGACGAAATGCAGAGTCTTCTAAGCACTTTGAGCCGCAATCTACGAATGTTTGGCATGCGATTCGCTCCCGCCAAATGCAAGATGATGTTACAGGACTGGACTACATCGACGCCAAGTTTAAAAATAGGAAGTGAAGTGGTAGAGCACGTTGACCGCTTCACTTATTTGGGAAGTACCATCAGCCCCAACGGGCTGATCTCTGACGAAATCTCAGCACGAATACAAGGGGCTCGTTTCGCAATTGTTAGTTTACGCCGACTGCGGCGTAGACGAGATGTTCGACTATCGACCAAAGGGCGGGTGTACTGCTCATCAGTCCGCTCCGTCCTCCTTTATGGCTAGCTGTGAGACCTGGCCACTGAGGGTGGAAGACATGAAAAGACTAGCTGCCTTTGATCATAGGTGCCTGCGTTCTATTTCCCGTGTAAAGTGGCATAAATAAGGTCAGCAACATTGAGGTTAGGCGTCAAGTTCTAGGTAAACAGGGGAAATCAATCGACGAAGTCGTGAAGCTACAAAGACTGAGATGGTTAGGACATGTGTTACGTATGCCAAGTCATCGCCTCCCTCGACGAGCAATGTTAGCGGATATAGGGTCAGGCTGGAAAAAAGCTAGCGGAGGTCAAACAAAAACTTGGCACCAGTCAATGAAATCCACAACAGTTGGTCTAAGCCACGTAGGAAGGTGTAGACTTCCAGGCTGGGGTCCTCGGGACGGTAAAAATCTATGGTTGGAAACAATTGGTGACATGGCTCAAAATCGTTCTCAGTGGCGCAGATGCATCCACTCCCTGTGACTTATGATCTCCAATGAAACTGTTTTGTATTTCTTTACTACTCCTTTGTCTCACACCTCTGCTCACTGTTTCTATTATGCTTCTCTTGTACTTTCTTCTCTTGCTTCGCGTGCTACACGGAGTGTGGCGACTTGAACTTCCGCACATTTGTGCAAAGTTCTATGTCGAAAACAGACAGACAGACATTATCCATTTTTCACCTTTAAGTGTTTATTGTTATAGTAGGACTTCAGTATTTCAGTTATTTATTTCATCATGTGACTGCTCTTGTTATACTACTTTTTACTGATTTTTTCTTGTGTTCACCTCTACTTCAATAGGCCAATATAGAGTGTAAGAATCTGAACATATAAGTATATGTAGGGGACGTTGCGTCATTTCTTTTTGTTTAAATGAAGATAAGGTAGTAACTCATCGAAGAAGATATTGCGAAGTAGTCACTCTATTTCATGAATTTGCAGAAGTTAGAATTCATGCTGTGGCGATTGGATCGAGTCCCAATCAGTGGTTCACTAGTCTACGAGCTAGCTCTACTTGTAACTAGAAGATTCTGCGTTCAAACCCTGCCGGTGGGTGCGTACTGATGAAGCATCCCAAACTAAGATGGGGGTGGGGGAACAACTGTCCAGTACTCCCTGCAGGTTGTGTAGTGGTCGTCTAACTGATGTCAGCTCATGATGAAATCCTCCAACCATTTAAACAAGATCCCTATAAAACCAATACTTAAATGAAATTTATCTGGTGGGGAATGTATCGCACAGTCTGTTTTTTGCAACTCTTTATTCTCAATAGTCTTCCAAGTAGACTTGACTGTTTTTAATACTTTTTATTGTAGCATTTTAAATCTACTTTGTAATAACTAAGAAAAGTGGTTTATTTTATTATTTGTTGTCACACTGTATAAATCTTGTGGTTAGTGTTATACAAAGTCATTCTGTCTGATTTTATAACCACTTGTTTAACGATGTCATCTTTACGACAGTTACTTACTAAGTGACACATTATGCAAAAATGAGATTTTTATAAAGCAGATGTGATTGTCAACAAAACCTGAGCTACACGAGTTCTGTTGACTCGAATAACCACTCATTCTGCTATAATATGCGCTAGTATGGATTATTATTATTATTATTTTATCCTTTAATTCCTAGAGGAACATAGGGATTCAGCTGCGCACCTCCATTGCCTTCTGTTTTCTGCCAACTTTTTCACCCCGCTCCAAGTCTGCCCACATGCTTTCATCTCCTCCTCGGATGACCTCCTCCAAGTCACCCTTGGACGACCAACTCGCCGCTTCCAGTGCAGGTTCCACTCGAGGACTTGTCTAGTGATGTCACTTAATGGTTTGTTATCTCAGAGTATGGCCAATCCATCTCCATTTCTTCCTGCCTATTTGTTTCACAACCGGTTCCTGGTTGGTTTGCTCCTATAGATATTTGTTGCTGATCTTTTCTGGCCAGTCATCTGGTCTTGAGTATTGAGCGAAGACAGCTGTTAATGAAGGTTTGTAGTTTGTTTGAGATGCTCTTTATGACGCGCCAAGTCTCTGATTGGTGTATAGTAGCACTGACTGAATTCACATTGGAGTTGAAAATCCGGATCTTATTTTTGATGCTGGGTGCTGTTGACCTCCACACAGACTTGAGAGTAATGAAAGCTTGTCTTGTTTTTCCGATCCTCGCTTTGATATCCTTGTTAGTTCTATCCGCCTCTAGTTGAAACGATGCTTCCCAGGCAGGATAGGTAAAGGAGGTTGTTTCTTTCAGGTTCCTCCCATTTATGCTGGTTGATTGTTGTCTGTTACTGTTGGCCAGGAATCTTCATCACCTCTGTTTTCTTCTGCCAACTTGTTGTTTTTCACTTGCATATCTTCCACTTTGTGGGAAATCAGATATATATCATCGGAGAAGTCCAGATCCTCCACTTTTTTGTATTGGTCCATTTTATGCCTGTTTCCTCGTTGTCCACCGCTGTCTGTCGGATTATTCAATCTACTGCAATCAGGAAAATCACTGGCGACAGTAGGCAATCTTGTCTTACTCCCATCTTTACCTCGAAGGCTTCCATAAGTGTCCCGTTGTGCATTTCTCGGCATGCAGCATTGTCGTACAACTGTTGGATGAGATGTATAATTGTTGGTGGCATCCCGTAATAGCGAAGTAGTTGTCAAATCACCTCTCGATCGGCTCTGTCGAAGGCCTTTTCAAAGTCGATAAAGTTGAGATAGAGAGGTGACTTCCATTCCAAGCTTTGTGCAATGATAATCCGTAGTGTGGCGATTTGATGAATACATGACTTGTTTCTCCTGAATCCAGCTTCTTTCGGTCGAAGTTTTGCATCCAGGGCTTGTTTGATTCTCTCCGGGATGATGCAACTTAGTATATTGCTTGGGATGGACATGAGCATAATTCCGCGCCAGTTTTTGCATTGACTTAAGTCTCCTTTCTTTGGTAGTTTGAATAAGTATCCTTTCTTCCAATCCTCGGGTACTTTGCCCTCTTTCCACACCTTCTCCAGCAGTGGCGTTATCAAGTCCGCTGTTGTCTCTGTACGGATGGTATGGATATCCTCATAAAATAAGTAAATATTACAGTCAAACTTGGGTAACCAGCTAAATGCTTAATTAATAATATAATTGAACTTCGTTCCTGGAACAGGTTTTGAATGTTATAGGCTATGAGCCACATTTATTGTGCGTGCGCGGATGGTACTATCCAGGTGTCCAGGTTGATTTTTGTAGAGCGAGATTCGAACCCAAAACCCAAGGGTTAAAAGTCAAGTGCTTTACCCAAAGAATCATGTCTCCACTAAATATTAAAATTAATTTGGCGGGAATTGTGAACAAATCATTTTGTAGAACCAAACTTATTGTACATTAGATAAGTAAGTGTTTTTGCATGGGTTATTTTTAACTGAAATCTCACAAATAATATGCTATGTATATTTATATATATTTTCTATTTAGAGAGCTGCTCTTATCAATGCTTTCGGTTCTGTTAGAAAACAACGTGCTATGCGAGAAATTGAGCGAAATAAAACTCATAAAGATTCAGTGACAAATGCTCAGGCGATTGATCGTGCTATGCACGGTCAAGCTCAATTAAAGATCGATAACGAGGCTAATTCAAGTCAGAGTAAGTAGTGGAATGTTGTTGTTATTATTATTGAAATTTCTGTTATCATTATGCTTATGAGAATTATTGTTCCATAGTATTTGTTGAATGCCTTTTTGAACATTAAGACTAATTGAAGTCTGAGAGTACTGGACAGCTGTTTCGTCCTAGTTTTGAACTCATAGGCATCCACTGGGATTTGAAACCCAGGACCTTTCGTTGACAAGGCAAGATTGTAAATCATTCAGCCACTGAGACTTGATTCAGTAACGCATGAGCTTTTCTTACGAAGTAACAATAATGTAGAGTAGTTTTAGGTGGCTTGAATGTCACTTGTCAATGGTTTCCAAGTACATCCGAAAAAATTTACGAAGTGCATTTAATTTAAGGTAAAATTGTTATCTCTTCTCTTGATCCTACTCCCACTAGTGTCCTTTATGTTCGGATGCTTTTTGTGCATTCCTCTCGATGCATAAATGACAAACTAAGCCATTCATTTCCATGCATTAATTACTCCAATTCAGATTGTGTTGGATTCATGATGTAGCATTTCTGTGGATCTGTGAATGATTATAGAAACGTGGCTAAAGTACTTTAAAATCTATTCAGAACCGTCGCATTCTTGTAACAGTTGTGAATAAGATATTTTTTAGTGATTTTGTATTCAATGTCTTCCATTGTAACAAATTTCAACTATTCCATTTTTCTGTTTTTTCCTTAGTTGACAATGAGACTGACGGTCCCAGTACTCAAGTTGACGAACGTCTTCGCCTTCTTCCACCGATAGATTTGAATGCTTCTTGTCCTGAAAATGTTTATCCGTATGATAAGTTGATTCCAAGTCGAATCATAGAAGCTTTGAATTCAGAAGTACAACATATTACCTCTCTCGATTCTAATTCAATAGATACTGGATTAAATAAACAGCTTTATCCACAATGGGTATTAAACAAATTGTACAGTCTGTCTACAATAAAACCTGATGATTACACAAAACATGTCACGAGTTTGGTTCTTCTCAGTCATATGTTTGCTTTGTTTCGACTTCCAAGTCGTGATTTAATGCGTAAAGTTCCACTTCCAGATACACCAGCTAGTGTCACCAAATTCCTTCTCAGTCAGTTCACTGTATCAGTCAATAAACAGGGTATGGGACGTCAGAAAGTACGGTAGGTCATTTTGTTTTATCACCACTTTTAAACTTCATTACTATTGGTTACTTGTTTTTTTAGTCAATTAATCTGAAGCTAGAAGTAAAGATGTGACTCACTGATGAACTGTATTCAACTAGTAGTGATTTCTATTTTTGAATCCCACCTCAGCCCGATTAAACGTGTAGCACCATATAAAGTGTAGTCTATAGACGAAAATTGTACTGCTAAATCTAGCTGCATTATTAATCTTGTGTAAAGCGTGCAGTTAGTTTTACTGATAGTTCGTTGTTTCATTTCATTGATTGTGTTTGTACACATCCTGAAAGCCCTATACAGAAACACCTCGGGTAGAGTGAAGGCATACAACCAACTATCATCACTGTTCCCAACCAACAGTGGGGTTAGACAGGGCTGCCCAATCTCTCCATTTCTCTTTAACTTTGCCATCGATGACATTCTGGAGTCAGCTCTGAAGGATGTGCGTGAAGGTGGTGTAGATCTGCTACCTGGAGATAGACTTTCCGACCTCGAGTATGCAGACGATATCGTCATATTGTGTGATAGCATGCAAGCTGCCCAAATCTCGCACTTAATCAGTTGGCGATCAGTGTCTGTAAGTATGGTATGTGCTTTGCGCCGTCTAAGTGCAAAGTACTGTTACAAGATTGGCAGGAGTCACTCTTGAAGGTGAACCGCTTGAAGTTGTCGATAAGTTCGTGTGTCTGGGTAGTTGTGTGAACACTGGCGGAGGGGTGATGAATGAGATTTCCAACCTTATCATGAAGGCACCATCGCGACGTTAGCCTGGCTGTCAAAGGTCGGGTATACAATGCTTCGGTGCGGGCTGTCCTGCTCTACGCCTGTGAAACCTGGCCTTTCCGAGCTGAGGATGTGCGGTGACTGTGTGTTCGATCATCGCTGTCTCCGCAGGATGATTTGCCTTCGACGGTACCACCGCGTGAGTAATTCTTAGGTCCGGCAGCATGTTTTTGGACACAGTGGAGGTCACCATTCGTTGAGTATCGGCTTCGGCATATGCTGGGAATGTCATCCCAGAGGCTTCCGTACCAGTCTCCGTTTGCTATCCTTGGGATGGGATGGAAAAGCGGACAGGTAGTCAGCCCGTGATATGGTGTCGTAGGATGAAGGATATTCGTGGTAGGTTAGCATCGGTTGATGCTTCACAAATCCCTAGTTGGAGTCCTAGAGGATAGTTGGAAACATTATCGTATATGACCAAGAATCACAATCAGTGGCAAACGTGCTGCAATTCCCTTCTTTCTCCCCTTTCTGACAACAATTCAACGAATGCTGTTTGGTCTTTTGAAATATAACCGCTTTCTTTTCAGATGAATTCCTTTATTTATTCTATACATTTTTTCCCATAGGTGATTTTACTATTATTGTGTGGTGCACCTTCTTGGTGTGATATTGCACCAGGTTCTGTGTTTTAAATAAATAAAAGATAAATACTTGTATGGAGCATACCGACATACACCTTTGTGCACATACCTTCGGACGTAAGCTAATTATCTCTAGTCGTATATTCAGGCGTTATGATCTATCTATCTATACACGAGATTCAAATGACTGTATTGCATCCACAAAAGTTGAAGATATTTATAATACTCATTAAGAGCTAATGCAGAAAATATAGGTTTAACGTCTCACTCTTCACCGCAGTTTTTAATTGTACCCTTCACATAACTGACTTTCGTCTTTACTAACTGCAGTTATCATCCATTCAGATGTTACCATACCTATGAAAGTGTATCCTTATGTAACCAAATTGATGATTATTATTTAGTCACCAATATAAAATATGACAATGTATGCAGATAGTTTCTTGGTAATCAGTGAAGAAGACATAAATCAGGATGAAATATGTAATTTTTATGAAGCTTGGTTTTTCATACGAAACACGACAGGAGTAATTATCACAATAGAGTTACATATAAATTAAGTTATCCATCGTTCATGGGCAGCTAATTCTATAATAATTAAAATCGGTTCACAACTCACTTATGACCAAATTACTCTCTGCTAATGATATTAATATTACTGATTTATTATAATGTGCATGCTGGCAGTGTCAAAACTGCAGATTGAATGAATGAATGAATGGATGTCAGGAAGTTTGACTCTGCTGGTTAGTGGTTGGCTAATTCTTTTGTCTTTGAGTGAAGTAAGATTCTCCTGTTATCAGAATAAAATTACGACCTAGTTAAATCACCTATGATATCATGTGTAGAATGGTTAAGAAGATTTATAAGGGGTCATCAATTATTTGGTAAATAAAAAGTAATGAGTTAATTCTTATTCTTTAAGCAGATAGAACAGACTGTCAAACTGTAACAGCACAAGGCAAGACTCGGAAGCCAAGGTATATTTTCAGGTGATCAAACAGCTATTTACATATATATATATATATATATATATATATATATATACTGTTTATACTGCTTCTCTCTAAACTTTAACTTAATGTAATCATTCTTTTCTCAGGCGTGAGGCTAGCAACCACACCCTGTAAACAAAGTTGCTACAGAACCTTCAGCAAAATGAACCTCTTTGCACCAAAAGAAAAAGTCTGTGTAGGAACATGGAACGTCCGAACTATGTACGAGACTGGAAAAGCTGCCCAGATCGCCAACGAGATGAAAAGATACGGAATACAAGTGCTGGGAATATGTGAGAGCAGATGGAATGGGAGTGGACTCACCAAATTGTCAACAGGTGAGTCAGTGATCTACTCCGGTCACCCAGAAGATAACCACACGCACACCGAGGGCGTGGCTATCATGATGTCACCAACGGCAACGAAAGCCCTGATACAATGGGAGGCGATTTCGTCCAGGATAATGACCGCCAGGTTCAACTCCAAAGGAAGGAAAGTGTCAATCATACAATGTTATGCACCCACAAACAACGCAGACCTCGAGAAGAAAGAAGAATTCTACAGGCAACTACAGGCAACAATGGACAATACTCCAGCTGGCGACATGAAAATACTAATGGGAGACATGAACGCCAAACTGGGACCAGACAATACGGGAAGGGAACTCATCATGGGTAGAGAAGCTCTAGGAGAAATGAATGAAAACGGAGAACTCTTCGCCGACTTCTGCGCCTTCAACGAACTGGTGATTGGTGGCAGTGTATACAAGCACAAAGATATCCACAAGGCTACATGGGTGTCACCAGACGGGCAAACCAAAAACCAAATCGACTTCATCTCAATCTCAAGGAAGTGGAGGCGCAGCCTACTGGACACAAAAGCAAGAAGAGGAGCAGACGTTGGCTCAGACCACTATCTCGTACAAGGGACAATCCAAATCAAATTAAAAGCTTTCAAAGAAGGAGGAGCTGCAGATAGACCACAAGCCAAGTTCAACACTCAAAAGCTGAAGGACCAGGCTACAAAGGACATCTTCATTGCAAGCATAAAGGACAAAGCCGAGACACAAATCAACACTAGCGAAGAGGTCGGCGTTGAAAAGCACTGGAACAACTTGAAAACGGTGTGGAGCCAAACCTGCATAGAAATTCTAGGCAGAAAAAAGAGACAGGACAAACAGTGGCTCACTACGGACACTTGGAAACTAATAGAAGAGAGAAGGACAGTGAAGCAAAAGATTATCCAGTGCACCGACGAGCAACAAAAACAGGAGCTGAATGCAAGCTACAATACACTGAACAAAAGAGTGAAGAAAAGTGCCAGGGAAGACAAAAGAAAATATTATGAAACCATGGCAAACGAAGCAGAACAAGCTGCAGGCAAAGGAGACCTCGCCACACTCTACCAAACAACTAGGAACCTTTCGGGCAAACGTTCGACACAGATTAAGCCAATAAAGGACGACAATGGAAAGTCAATCACCAAAGAGGTGGAACAGAGAAAGCACTGGGTTGAACACTTCAAAAGACTTCTAAATCGTCCGCCACCTACAACACGTCCAGCAATACCAACAACGGAAGCAGAACTACCAGTGAACACTGACCCCCCGACGAAATCAGAAGTCCTGAATGCAATCAAGATGCTTAAAACTGGGAAAACACCGGGACCAGATGGAATCCCAGCAGAGGCTTTGAAAATAGACCCAGAGACAACAGCGGACTTGATGACACCACTACTGGAGAAGGTGTGGAAAGAGGGCAAAGTACCCGAGGATTGGAAGAACAGTTACTTATTCAAACTTCCAAAGAAAGGAGACTTAAGTCAATGTAAAAACTGGCGGGGAATTATGCTTCTGTCCATTCCAAGCAAGATACTAAGTCGCATCATCCTGGAGAGAATCAAACAAGCCCTAGATGAAAAACTTCGTCCGGAACAGGCTGGATTCAGGAGAAACAAATCATGTATTGATCAAATCGCCACTCTACGGATCATCATTGAACAAAGCTTGGAATGGCAGTCACCTCTCTATCTCAACTTCATCGACTTTGAAAAGGCCTTCGACAGCGTCGATCGAGAGGTCATTTGGAAACTACTTCGCTACTACGGGGTCCCATCGACAATTATACACCTCATCCAACAGTTATACGACAATGCTGCATGCCAAGTAATCCACAACGGGAAACTTACGGAAGCCTTCGAAGTGAGGACGGGAGTGAGGCAAGGCTGTCTACTATCACCAATGATCTTCCTGATTGCAATTGATTGGATAATGCGACAGACAACGGCAACCAACGAGGGAACAGGCATAAAATGGACTGACACAAAAGACTTGGAGGATCTGGATTTCGCCGATGATATATGTCTGATTTCCCATAAACTGGAAGATATGCAAATGAAAAGTAACAAGTTGGCAGAAGAAGCATCAAAGATAGGACTTCACGTGAACATAGATAAAACAGAGATGATGAAGATTCCTTGCCAACATCAACAGCAACAACAGACCACAATAAGCATAAATGGGAAGAACCTGAAAGAAACAACCTCCTTCACCTACCTGGGAAGCATCGTCTCAACTACAGGCGGAACTGACGAGGACATCAAAGCCAGAATCGGAAAAGCAAGACAAGCTTTCATTACTCTCAAATCTGTGTGGAGGTCAACAGCATTCAGCATCAAAAATAAGATCCGGATTTTCAACTCCAATGTGAAGTCAGTGCTACTATACGGATCAGAGACTTGGCGAGTCATAAAGAGCATCTCAAACAAACTTCAAACCTTCATTAACAACTGTCTCCGCTCAATACTCAAGATCAGATGGCCAGAAAAGATCAGCAACAGGGATCTCTGGGAGCGAACCAATCAGGAACCGATTGTGAAACAAATAGGCAGAAAGAAATGGAGATGGATTGGCCATACGCTGAGGAAACCATCAAGTGACATCACTAGACAAGCCCTCGAGTGGAACCCGAAAGGGAGGCGGCGAGTTGGTCGTCCAAGGGTGACTTGGAGGAGGTCATGTGAAGAGGAGATGAAAGCATGTGGGCAGACCTGGAGCAGGGTGAAAAAGTTGTCAAAAAACCGAAGTCAATGGAGGTGCGCAGCTGAAGCCCTATGTTCCTCTAGGAACTAAAGGATACAATAATAATAATACTGTTTATATTCGTTAACCAATCACTGCGCTTTTGTTTTTGGTTTACATTAAACGACATGAAACAGAATGTTTAAATACATATAGTATTCTGTTTTTAATTCAGTATTGAACTGTTGGAATATGTGAGAATAATATTCCGTTAACTGTATCACACTTCTGACTGAAGTCGGTTCAATCATTTTGGCGCTTTCGACTTTTTGGTAGCTTGTCTTGCTGTATCCAGTTCCGGAGCTTGCTGACATTACCCGGCTTCTCTTTGTTTGCATTTTTGAACGTATATGCGTGACCCCGTCTCGTGGTGACCGTTTACGGTCCTTCCCAATTTGGGAGCAGTTTGCGTGACCCTGGCGCATAATCGCCTGTGTTTCGACTCACACTAACATATGCTGCCTTCTCCCGCTTTCTGAAGAGCATTCCAAGTAAAAGCGTCTTCGTTGATGGATCTTACACGCCATTCAACTCTGCAACAGCCTTTAAGTCCTGCAAGAAGATCCATATGTTCTCTTTATCAAAAACTACAGGGTATAAGCTTTTCATTTGTCGGTAGGCAGCGATATCACTGAGTATTCTGCTGCTGGAACTAACATTGACTGTACCATACCACCACAAAACTACTTTTCAATAACTGTACATTTCTCTCTCTTCTTTTTCTTGTAAAATTCCAGTGTAATATCGCCTATGCTTCGTGATAAACTGATTAACCACATGCTGATTTTAATACTGCATTGTGATAAGTTTAAAACTATGATTGATAAATTGGCTGTCGACTTCAAAATAGTGCGTGACAGGTAAGCGTTATACGCATTTTTTCTGAGTATATATTTGTGAAGTTGGTTACAACATACTTCTAATTCTAGTCGTTTATAGTACTACTTTCGGCAAAGTTCAACAATAGCGTCCCAGTTATAATGAGGAGTATCAGTAGCTAAGTTACACTAGTTTTTCCTGTATATGTATATTCACCGAGGTGATTGAAAATGAGCTGTTTTTGTGAATCGTTTATCTCTGTCATCCTCAAATGCATTCTTTCCCAAACGCCCTCGGTTGAATTACTATGGTTTGCAGTGAGAGGACTGACGACTACTTACCAGGAAAATATGGATAAAAAACAAACTAAAATAAATAATATCAACTTTAAATCTATCCATAATCGTAACTGTAACCTTAATGCTGACCCTAACCCTAACGTGATCTTGGTGAAATTTGCTGCTTAGCTGGTGAATAGCGTTGATATTTCAGTTATGACAATGGCAGATACCGTTAGGCAACGACTGCTAGCATGCGTTCAAGGTCATTGGAGAGGTCACACTCTTGGGACGCTGTTGTTGAACTTCACCCTACTCTCCTACACAGCCGTGAATATCTGGCATTATAAATAAGTAAACACCGTAATTATGTACTCTGTAGACAGAATATCTGAAAGTCTTAGGTTGCTTTTTGGTCTGGCTTCTGCATTCTATTATTGCAGAAAATAGTTACTGTTTTAGCAGTCACATCTCTTTGGTTGTTTCTTCTATATTTTAAAATGCGTGTATCGTAGTGAAGCTTGAGCGTGCTAGGGATGTGAGGCAGTTCACCGATGTCATGGTACGAGTCCTTTCGGCGCTCAGATAAGTAAATTTACTAAATAGGCTTTGAAAACCATACAGATACGCTTATACGTATGCTGATGTTGAATATGAAAGTGAATAGCTGTCGGTTGTCTTATTGGAATTTCATAAAAGTCACCTCAAATTCTAGACTATAATACTAAGGCACTGATTGTTGTGATTTCGGAGAGATCTTAAAGAGAATTACAGGGGGAAAAAACTCTTCACAATCCACGATACTATTTTATTCACTAAACAAGGATCAATGTCGGGAATTCTGTGATATGTAAGTAAGACAAATTCACTAGAGTAATTAACATTGTTTTTTAGGCAATTGTAATGATAGGATTTAGGTATTCACCAAACATTCGCAGCTTTTAGAAGACTTATTTCGTTAGTGGAAGGCAGGAATATCATAAATCAAACTTTGCACCCTCGAGTTTATGCTCATCAACAAACTTCAGTAAGATAAAATCATATCTGAGGTTAGTGTTTGCGATAGTTAAGTGTAAGGCGCCTGCCAATCGACATCAAATACCAGGGGCAGATATATGTACACGCATACTACATAGATGAAGTACACGTTGACCTCCATCATCTGTGCCTTAGTAAACTGTTTGCTCAGTAAAGTAATTGAAACTTGGTAATCTTAATGCAAGTGTAGAATTTGGGCACTGTGGTAGAATGTAATTCCATATAACTTTATATTAAAAACCGCATAGTGATGAAGCATTAACAAATGGATGACATGTCGAGCATCAATTATTGCTCATAATATCTTTTTAGTCACACGGCTTCACAATTTGTCTTTTCTTTCTCTCTCCCTCTACTCCTTGTTGCCGGAGATATCTCCGGTATAAGCGGTTGCGTCTTTCTGATTGCATGTGTGTGGTGCTGAATCGATAGACAACAGAGCTTCAATGATTAACCTTTGTCTCCACTTAACTATATTACATTTTAATACTCTCACCCTGTCCCACCCATCCTATTTTGTGATTACATGCAAGTGTATCTAATGCATTGGCTGAGCTTTTTTTTTCTAGGTTATTTAACTTAGCAGCGTCAATTATTCTAGATGTAACCAATTATTTTATGTTTCGATAATCTAACTGACCCCAGTCTACTAGTTTGGCCTGTTTAATCGACCTCACGTTCATTACGTGATATTTACTAAATTGCATCTATTGGGTCTTTAAGCTGACGAAGTTTATCTCTGAGAGAGTTGGTTGATTAGTATAAACAACACCCGAATTCCAGCCACATTGAGAATCCTGCGTAAGGTGTCTGACATTCCTTCTTAATACGGCAATACTACAGAGGCTTTGAGAATTCTATATTATTTTCGTAGTTTTTATTGCTAAACTTACATTTCTGAATAAATTCTGGTGGGTGGTTACTCACTAGTAATTGTAATTATTTGTTTGATTTCATTATTTAAATCCTCTGACTTACTTTTAGGTTCCTGACCCAGTTATTTAGGTATTATTATTATTTCCTTTAATTCCTAGAGGAAAATAGGGATTCAGCTGCACGTCTCCATTGCGTTCGGTTCTCTACTGAAGTTTTCACCTGGCTGCAGGTCTGCCCACATGCTTTCATCTCTTCATATGACCTCCTCCTCGCCCTTGGACGACCAACTCGCCGCTCCCCTTTTGGCTTCCACTCGAGGGATTGTCTAGTGATGTCACTTGATGGTTTGTTATCTCAGAGTATGGCCAATCCATCTCCATTTCTTCCTGCCTATTTGTTTCACAATCGGTTCCTGGTTGGTTTGCTCCTAGAGATATTTGTTGCTGATCTTTTCTGGCCAGTCATCTGGTCTTGAGTATTGAGCGAAGACAGCTGTTAATGAAGGTTTGTAGTTTGTTTGAGATGCTCTTTATGACGCGCCAAGTCTCTGATTGGTGTATAGTAGCACTGACTGAATTTACATTGGAGTTGAAAATCCGGATCTTATTTTTGATGCTGGGTGCTGTTGACCTCCACACAGACTTGAGAGTAATGAAAGCTTGTCTTGCTTTCCCGATCCTTGCTTTGATATCCTCGTCAGTTTCGCCCGACTGTAGTTGAAACGATGCTTCCCAGGTAGGTAAAGTAGATATTTAATTAAATCTATCTTTACCGATTCTGGATGGGATGAATTAAAGTCCAAGTATTTATTAGTGTGTCGGTTGCCTTCGTTTTATTCTACAATCTAACATGGCCAACTCATCCTGTTCGTTATTCAACTCATAAGTGAATTGGATTCCGTCTACTATTAAGTTTATATGTGTGAGAATATAATGGATATGTTCAGATTTTAATACAGTGAATGTGTCATCTGCATATTTCGACTATAACCTAGGAGCAGGACTAGACGTTCTGAGAGCTTTACGTTATCAACTGTCCACAAATATGTCTACTACTGTTGGGGATATTGGCGATCCCACTGCCCACCCCATTCGTTTGTTTACATAGTTTATTTTGAAACTTGAATACAGTGTTGGTTAGACATAACTGAACGCCTTATATTATTTCATCGATAGAGAGCTTAGTTCTACTTTTGATTTCGGGATCAATGTTCAGTTCATTCCTAACTGCCTCCAAAGTTGTATCTACCAATTTAATTGCTTCTGTAGGGCGAGTTACATAGGTCATACAATTAGGCATTTCTCGTCGGATCTCCGAACATCACCCTGTGAAGTTAAGTAAAGGACAAACAAAATCTATTCGTAGCGCTATTCTATCTCATCTTGTAGATACAGAACACAGGAGTGATTGATGTTAACCAGGCTTTCAAAGTCATCTGCCGCAGACCTACAAATCTCAATTTCGCCTTAAGAGTTCAATTACTAAATATTACTGAGGCTGTTGGGATCCATATTAAGAACTTATCTGGGATTCGTCGTCTGGATGTGGCTGTATTCCCCAGTGAGTGTTGGCGTCCCCACCGAGTGCCCAGTTTCAAACGCCAAAGTGTCATCCACTAGACCACTTGGGCGACGAGTAGTTCTGTGACTAAACATCCTCGAAGCATATGCATTAGGAGCCGACATATCAACCTGAGACCGAGCACTTCAAACCAATCAGTCGACGAGAAAAACTAAAAATTGAATTAAATACTGTAGTAGTTTGATTATGACTGTCATTAATTTTTCCATTATTTATAATTGTGTTTTATTTCAATTCACAGGTTGTCGCAGTACTTCCAACACTTGGGATGCAAGTGTTCGAAAGTTGAAAACCCTCAAAATAAATCGGAAATAAATATCTATGCTGAATTAGTTACACCTGTTAAATTATTGGATCTTAAACCATATAAATCAACTCACTGATTTTCAGTGAACAACTATGCATTTGTACGATGTTGTTTGTTTTTTTTGTTATCGTCAAATACCTAAAGAGAGAACTAAGATAATGCTGGCAAAAGGTCAAACCAATCCAAAAAGTACCATATACCAAAGCTCATGTATAAATTATTCTCACCAGTCAGTACATAGTTGTTATTATTATTGTTTCCTTTAGTTCCTAGAGGAGCATAAAGCTTCAGCCGCACGTCTTCATTGCTATCGATTCTCCCAACGTTTCCACCTGACCCTACATGCTTTCACCTCCTCTTCACATGACCTCCTCCAAGTCATCCTTGGACGATCAAATCGCTGCTTCCCGTTCGGGTTCCACTAGAGCAATAGCCTGGGGTGTAATGTCACTCAGTTGGTGGTGTGTTTTCTCAGAGTACGGCCAATCCACCTCCGTTTCTTCCTGGAAATTTTTTGCACAATCGGTTCCTGCTGGGTTGGTTCGTTCCCAGAGATCCCTGTTGCTGATCTTTTCTTGTCGGCCATCTGATCTTGAGCGAAGACAGCTGTTGATGAAGGTCTGTAGCTTGTTCGAAGTGCTCTTCATGACGCGTCAAGTCTCTGATCCATAAAGTAGCACTGACTTCACATCGAAGTTCAAATTCCGGATCTCATTTTCATGCTCAGTGCTGTTGATCTCCACACACAGACTTGAGAGTAATGAAAGCTTGCCTTGCTTTCATATCCTCGTCAGTTTCGCCCGAGTGTAGTTGAAACGATGCTTCCTGAGTAGGTAGGTGAGAGAGGTTGTTTCTTTCAGGTTGCTCCCACTTATGCTGATTGTTGTCTGTTGTTGTTGCCCAGGAATCTTCTTCACCTTTTCTCTATGTCCACCTGAAGTCTTCTCGAGATGCTTCTTCTGCCAACTTGTTGCTTTCCACTTGTATATCTTCCACTTTATGGGAAATCAGAAGTATATCATTATCGGCGAAGTCCAGACCCTTCAAGTTTTTTGTGTGGGTGTCTGTTTCCTCATTGCCCGCTGTCTGTCGCTGTGCGTCGTTGGCACAGTGGTTAGGACTCCCGTCGACCATGCACATGGTCCGAGGTTCGATCCCCTGCCGACGCACACCTGATATCTATGGTCGGCCTGCGAAATTCGGGCTACCGATATCCATGCTGAAAATTCCATACTTGTACGAAAAATACAGTGTGGAATCAAGCTGCAAATCAAAAATCAAAATAAAAAACCTAGTCTACCGCAATCAAGAAAATCATTGGAGATAGTAGGCAGCTAGCTTGTCCTACTCCCGTCCTCACTTCTTCGAAGGATTCCGTGAGTTCCTCGTTATGGATTACTTAGCATGCAGCATTGTCGTACAACTGTTGGATGAGATGTATAATTATTGATCAGTACATTAAGGATGATATAACTGTGCATAAATTAACAAAGCGTACCTAACTCTACTTCCATTAGTCCCGTTTATAAATTTCAATATACACCAGTAGTAGGTCATTTCTTTAAACGTTATCGCTTTTATCAATACTTCTCTAACAGGGACAAACAAAAATCGTGACACTGGACGTTTGAAGCCTAGTAAATTACTCTAAAGGCATTAACTTCATACAGAAAGTGCACTTAAGTGTGGTTTGTAAGTGAATCTAGATCTCACGGCTTGAGAAGTTCAACTAGCATATCATACCACAACACTATCACCATTTATTGTGTTAACAATTTAGCTACACTTACATTTGTATGCAAGAGTTTAAAGATACCTACTTAAATTAGTTCTGAGATTACCAAATGTCTATCGCGTATATATGTACGCTTTTTGTCATTAAACCTAAAGCTTAATGGATACCGTAAGAAATAAGTTACTAGTGAACAATCACTAGGAGGGAGGGCATAGTTGGGTGGAGTCGTAATGCTACCAACTCTATAAAATTGAAATCTGTTCACCAAACAGCAGATGGTCGATAACAGATAATAATAATAATACAGAATTTAGTACGTATGAATTTGCATTCTTGATAGATGATATATATATATATATATATTGCATAGATCAATAAGGATCGGGCATACATCGAAGAGACCGTCGGATGACATCACGCGCTAGGCCTTGGAGTGCAATCCCAATGAGAAGTGACGGGTGGGTCGTTCTAGGGTGACATGGAGGAGGTAAGAGATTTTGAGTAACTGGTCCAAGCTGTAGAGGACGGTAGTAGGTAGGACAAAGTGAAGATGTATTGTTGAAGCCTCACGTTCCACTCGGAACTCAAGCGAATAGTAATAATAATAATAGATCAATAAATTACGGACATCGACAAAAACCTGCCTTTTTCATTATGTTTTAAGGAGATGATACAAGTCGGCTGAGGTAATCAGAGAGGTAAATTCATGTGAACACACACATCTTCGCCTCCTTGACCTCTATAGCAGTCCAACATTCTTGACATTCTAAATTCCTACTATCAGTGAATGGTGAGAATTCAATTGGTTTAATTGTTTAATAGAATGGAGCATAATACGTCATAAGAATAATTGTAATTAGCTGCTCCCTCGACGAGCAATGTTAGCGGATATAGGGTCAGGCTGGAAAAAAGCTAGCGGCGGTCAAACAAAAACTTGGCACCAGTCAATGAAATCCACAACAGTTGGTCTAAGCCACGTAGGAAGGTGTAGACTTCCTGGCTGGCTGGGGTCCTCGGGACGGTAAAAATCTATGGTTGGAAACAATTGGTGATATGGCTCAAAATTCTTCTCAGTGGCGCAGATGCATCCACTCCCTGTGACTTATGATCTCCAATGAAACTGTTCTGTATTTCTTTACTACTCCTTTGTCTCACACCTCTGCTCACTGTTTCTATTATGCTTCTCTTGTACTTTCTTCTCTTGCTTCGCGTGCTACACGGAGTGTGGCGACTTGAACTTCCGCACATTTGTGCAAAGTTCTATGTCGAAAACAGACAGACAGCTGATAACTGGAAGCAACAGAGTTAAACAACTGTAATAGAAACTCTTCTTTTTTTAGTTACTTAGATATTTACAACGTAACAGAAAAAAAAACTGAATTAAAATGAATTTTTGTGCAAAAGTAAAACAGTTTTGTTTTGTCTTTTCTTCTGCAAAACTGGATCACAGCAAAGGTAGTTATAGTGGTGTTCAATTTATTCATTGATTAAAACAACCGGAATTGATAAAAATGGCATAAGAAGAGCGTGAAATTCCAATTCATGATAAGGGATACAATATAAATCACAATTGCAGCTGTTATCGGCCATAGCAAAACTGTTGTACGTTTGAGGAAAGGTAGAGCTAAAAATTGAAGAGAAAATATACAAGAACATCTGCATATTGTGTGTTATATTATTTTAAAAGATGTAGTGATCAACGTTCAAAGTGTGAGAGTATATGCTTACAATTATATCAGTCTATCTAAGCGGTTAAATTGAACCGAGAGATTATTACTTCATCGTTCAGTTATATCATCACTTTATTTTTCATTGCCTAACAATAAAGGAACACAATCAAATGAATACACGTGTGCAAATTATTCGATCAGTTGAGACATCTGCTTGAAGCGTCTATAGTTTGTCTGGATTCAACATAGAACTTGGCACCGAAGTGCAGCAGTTCGAGTTGCCACGTTCCAAATAGCACACAAAGGTGGACAAGAAGATGAATGAAGTGAATCAACAGAGTTTGACAAGTATAAGAGTGAAACGGAATGGGTAATGGTAGAAAGGAGTATGAAAGATTACAGAGACTGAATACATCTGCGCCATTGACAACGATTTTGAGCCATGACACCTATTGTCTCCAGCCATTGATTCCTAGAATCCCGAGGGCCCCAACCCGGAAGTCTGCATCTCCCTACCTGACCGACTCAGTTTAACTGTCAAGGATTTCATGGACTGATGCCATGTTTTGTTTGGCCACCACTTACTCTTTTCCAACCTGCACCTATATCAGCTAGTAATGCCCGTCGGGGGAGGCGATGGTTAGGCATGCGCAGCACGTCACCTAGCCATTTCAATCTATGTAACTTTATAGCCTCGTCGATTGATTTTCCCTCCTTGCTCAACACTCTACGCCTAACGTCAACATTACTTACCTTATTATACCAGCTAACGTGAGAAAGAGATCGTAGACATCTATGATCAAAAACAGTCAACCTTTTGATGTCTTCAACTCGTATTGTCCATGTTTCAGAGCCATAGAGAAGGGCGGAGCGAACTGCTGAGCAGTACACACGTTCCTTGGTTGATAGCCGGATGGTGTAAGTCAGCGAAAGCAGCTCGAGCTTTTTGGATCCGTGCTGAGATTTCGTCGCCAATCAGTCCGTTGGTGCTAATACAACTTCCCAATTAGGTGAAGTGGTCAACATGTTCTATCACTTCACTCCCTATCACTAAGCTAGGAGTTGACGTAGTCCAGTCCTGTAGCAGCATCTTGCATTTTCCAGGGGCGAATCGCATGCCAAACATACGAAGATTGCTGCTCAAGGTGTTCAGAAGAGCGTCTGTATTCAAGTGCCCTTATCTCGATTGTGCTTATTTAGTGTAAATATCGTGTTTTCATTGCGGAGTTTTTACCTATTGCTTCATTATTACTTGTCCGCACTAAATTACCTCGACATCCACCCAACTTGAAAAATATTTCCCACTTTAACAGCATATACGTATACAGACATCAGTTTCTGTTAAGAGCTAATTACATCTGCTTCAGAGTATTCAAGACATGAAGGAAATCAATATTTTTATAGAACAGAACCAGGTGTGGTAATTGAGTTTTAACTAAATGGCAAGTAATGAAATATCGTGACTATCTATTTGTAACTAACTGTGTAGACTGTAAGAGATTCAACAAGTGACAACCAATGTAGCGTCTTAATTAAGAAACAAATGAGTGTGTAAAAGAAACGGACATACGTAAAATTATTAGTGAAAGAAAGGCATATGGCTAGAGTGAAGTTGGTTTACTCAAAAAATCAATATATGCAAAACTCGATCAGATCAATGGTGTCGGGATAACGTCCAATAAAACCTAGAGCTTTTTCATATACCCGTGCTTGAAATTTTGTAGACATTCAACCTAGTTTTGTATGTATAACTACTTGTAATTCTTTTTAAATGGACGTGGTTATGTACTCATCTAAATGCACTTTAAATTCATACGTACTTTTGACCGGGTACTAGTCAGTAAGTAGTGCATCAATGGTTCAGCAGTAGGATGTTCGCCAACCATGCATGTGGTCCACGACTCGATCCCCGACCGATGCACTCCTTTACCTCGATAAACCGATAATAAGACCAGTTAAGAGGGAAGGTTGGGTGTGAGACTAGCAAACCCAACCTGTAAAAGTAAAAAACCTACTGCTACCGAAACTTCCAAGATCTAGCTTGGAGCCCTGTGTTCCAATAGGATTGTAAAGGAGTAAAATGAATAATAGCAACCAATGTAATACATCTAGTCCTTTATTTGGTGCAGACTGAATTCTGTCAGTTAAGCTTCCAATATAGTAACGTCTCGGACTGCAAAATCAGGTGACATGCATTCGAATCTCGGATGGGACATGAATTTCTTCAGGGTTGTGGATACACCCTACTGACAAGGCCAACAAGCACGAAACTTGGCTCCAAGGCTTCCTGCCGATTACCTCCAATCACCTAAATTTGCATGTAAATGACAGAGAAGTACATCATAGTAACACGGGGACGATCGCTAATCCACCTTAGCAAAAAGCCTAAGAAAAGTGTGCTTTGATTATATTAATACTTCGTACTGTTTGCAGGTAAAGGGCGAATCCTTGAGTAAAATATACAAAAACCTTAACATATCAGTTTTCCAAAAAGAATTAAAACTGACCAACTGAATAAGTCTTTTTATTACACTTCCAAGATATAAGTACTTTTTGTATAATTGAACATTGTCAAGGCTACAATCAGTTAATATTACGTATTATAAAGGCTGTTCATTGATATCTGTTTTCATATACAAAATACGTGAAACCAAAGTATTCAGATACAATAGTGGTAAGAACAATACCCAAAAAGTCAACAGTACTCACCCCGGTAACCCAAGAACGTGATGTAAGTGTAATAAATAAAACTTGCAAGCCAGAACGTATTGCCCAATAATCTTCCGATAAACCAATTTTTCAAAATCACTAAAAAATATTAGGAAAATAAAATCATTAGTTGAACCGGAATATGTGGACACAAGCACTAATGACAGTGACTTCAAATTACTCTATTTAAGCTTTAATAAACTAATTGTATAGGAAGTAATCTGTCAGGAACGTCATTGTATCGCAGGAGATATAAAACTGAGGACTTAACAACTATCTTCTTACATGTTGCAGTTGACGGTCATAAGCGAGATTATATTATTTCTGATATCCATTTGTGTAGATGGACAGATTTTTGCCAGACATTTAAGACTGTTGTTACTTGATTTCATTGGACTAAATTCCTCGGTCATAGCTGGCATATCAGCTTCAAGTATATATCCTTTGATATTATCTTAAAGACAATTTAGCATTATTTGAATGATGGTGGCTAGTTGTGGGATCTGAGAAGCAAGATTCGTGCTGTTTGGGACCCATCATTTGAACTTACCTGGCCTCCATTGAAAGTCATGGTATTCCCAGGCAACTGGGCTGCAAGAATCAAGACACCATCAACTACAGGTATGCGGGGATATATTTAGTTTAGTTCTGAGGGCGAAACACCTGTCCTGAATCCCGCGGCTACTAACCACCAATCAAATAACATCAGGTGGTAGTCACGCTGTGTGTGTGTAACTTAATCAGCAGATGAGTGCACGAGTATTTCTACTGCTGATGACAGCGTTGACAAGGAATTCTTCCAACTGATTCTAAGAAGTATACATTCAATGACAGCCTTCCAAATTGCTGAAATTTCTATTTTCGCCTTATACAATAAGGTGAATTTAAAAGTCTTTTGGGTTCGAATGTTTGGTTTGGCTAATCAGAATTTATTGCTGAAATAATCTTTTTTATAAATATACAAGCCAGGAAGATAAAGCCACAGTAAGAATAATATTATTTCACCAATAATAAGCACCTGGTAAAAGAAATTGATTGAAACGGTTTATTGAATTTGTAGTTTCAACCACTTCAGTCGTACAATGACGAAGCAGTATGAATCTATCACTTTGTTTGTTTTATCTAGAGTACTCATTTACAAAAACCTGTTTTAGCAATAAAAAGTGTGACTACATTTACAGAAATGTGCTGAATAGCCAAAAGAGAAATTAGCTTTCTTGATTTTTTCTCAATTTCCATATTGGATGTATTATTATTATTATTAGAACACCAACTTGCTACACTATGGGCACCAAGAGATGCAACACAGAAAATCTCGAGGTATGTGTGAGGGCTGAGATACATCCTGGACACCCAGAACGAAGTAAATGTTATCTTAAGGGGTTACATCTCTCCTTCAAAGTATTCAGCTTCATGTCTGATCCTCAAGGCATCGGAGATGTATCAGAAGCTACGTTCCCATGGATCCTGGTGACCAGAACAGGTTTATACGGCATGCATGCAGTTCTTTCGGGGTATGGAACCCCCTAGGTAGATCTGCACGTCCAACAGTCCCGTTGTAAGCACTGCAGTCGCTCTGTCACTTCAGTTTGAAGACAGTGAATAGGACTAACATGGCAGAAGCATTTTGAGAGGAAGACAGAGATCTACCCACCCTCGGCGGTACCAGGTAGTTTATGGGGGTTATTCTGGTGTATCGCAATAACTGAACTAGTAAAGATTAATAATTTAATTGACGCATGAGTGACTTCATTAAAATTAAATGCCACTATGTGTGATGAACAAATTTACTGTGCATGAATATTTTACAAAAATTAACTTAAATATTAATGAACATACTGTACAAGAAGGGTAGTTGCAACAAGTGCAAAATGCACAAAGCTGGAAAAAATCCATTTAAGTGGACATCAAAGGCGTAACCCCATTCAACTTCTGGATTGTTTTCAGTATCGGATGCCAGTGCAGTAAGTTGCAAAGAACGAGCTCTTGATAAATCGATAAAGAAGTGGTTTGTAATGATCCAAAGGAATGTTGCCTGTAGTAAGCTGATTGAAATGAAGTCGACGAAAACAACCCACAACACAAACTCAAATGCTTGAAGCACGTTTAAAGACATGCAGACAGCAAAACCCAATGAGGTAACTACAATGAAATGAAGAACAAATACAATAAAGGCTATCACGGCACGAATTTATGTTAAACAGACACTTGACTGACTGAGTTTCGGCATGCAACTATGCACAGAAGTACTGCAGTTCAAGTTGCCACACTCCAGACAGAAAAGAAGGATTGAAAAGGACTCAAATAAGCACAAAACTGAATAAGAAAGAACGGTTACGAGCAGAAACTTTATGGTTTAATGGATATGGGAAATCGAAAAGGCTGAATGCGCCTGGGCCATATCACCGATTGCCTCCAGTCATTGATTCTAAGATGACACAGGAGCCTTTTGTATCCGCTGTGAGATTTTATCACCAATCAGTTCATTGGGGCTGATGCAGCTTACCGTATAAATGAAGTGGTCAACACTTCCTACCATTCCACTCCTTATATTTAAGCTAGGAGTAGGTGTATTCCAGTCTTGCAACACCATCTTACATTTCACAGGAGCATATTCGATGCCAGACATTCGAAGGTTGCTGCTCAAGGTATTTAGAAGACTGAAGCATTTTATCAGCGTTTTCACCTAGGAGGACAATATCATCCACACAACAACACGTCAATCCATAAGTCGCTGAAGTCAGTTAGGGTTAGTTCCATTGGTAAATCAATGACGAAATTGGACAAGAAACATGACGGCGGGCGTCCCTGACGGATACCACTGCTTGTTATAACTTCAGATGATAACTCTCCGTAAGCTATTACCTGGCTGTATGAGGTAAAGTAGAGTGCGTAGATTCGTGTGATTTACTTTCTCAACACCCACCCCCGGTTAACCATTGCTATAGTACCTCTCGGTCAACGGCGTTAAATCCCGCTTTCGGGTCAAGAAATACGGCAATTGTTGGACAACGGTAAGTATACTTAGTAAGTAAGTATGTTCTAAAAGCTTTCGAAGGGTGAATATGTGATTAGTTCACCACCTGTCCAGTAGTAGTTTCAGCCGAGCATCGACAAGTCTACGCATGTCTATTGATCTGAGAATTCTGATTACTGCATCAATCAAGTTTATCTCCCTATGATTATCACAGGAAGACTTACATATTAGGATGATCAATGACTTATTCCAGTCCGATAGGACTGTCTCCGACTCCAAGACGTTGACTAAATCTTTTGTTTGTTTGACGTCCTGGCGATACTCACTATAGGACTGATCCATAGAAGTCCAGACAGTAATGTCACCATGGTCCTTAAACACCTCTTAAGTAATTCCATCATGTCTTATTGCTTTCCCTAGTTTCCGACTAGAGTCAGCCTTTGTAACCTCAGCTATAGACGGAGGATCGGTGTCTGCATTTCATTTAGGATGGTGAATAGGTTGACCGTGGCTGTAGGCCAGTTAAATTGCCGCTAAAAGTGTTCCCTCCAACATTTCAGTTGTCTATCTTGAGAGCCAATTAGGGCGCCACTGTTCTCAGAGATTGTCTCGCTTATCACTTGTGTCATATGTAAAGCCGCTAAAACATGACTTCTTTTGGAATTTTATACTTTATCTAGCTCGTTAACGAGGGAAGATACGAATTCAAATAGTACGGTTTCACAGATAATAAATGTGACTAGACTGTACGTCATAAGCACGAAGTGACATAACGAGGCTGTATAAAAAGTACCTTATGAATTAACTTAAAGTCATCCAAAGTACATTAGTGCAAGATTTACCAAAGAACATTGGTAAACATCACCAAGCTTCATCTAACTTTGTTTGCCGTTAAACTGCCAGGATTTAAAAGTTGACCGCCTTATCAACACATAACGTTGCATAAAAGCAGGTCAGTTTGAGTTGCCTTAAGCCGAAGAATCATACACGAAAGTGGTGAAAAAATGTGGTAAAACTGAAGAGATGAAGTTGTACGAGAGAAAATAATTTTTAATTCAAATAACTTTGAGATTACATATATAGTGCATTGATCGTTACGTTGTGACATGAATAGTTAAGGTTTTCTAATCAACATTCCCCACGAAAGTCACTAATAATGCAAAATGAAACTTAAACGAAAAGAGATGGACTCTAAAAAGTGTTTTAGTTGGACATGCAAGAATGCAGCCGACAAAAATTAGATGAAACAAAAAGCTAACTTTGGGAATAAATCACCAGGAAAATTACATGCTTTCCTTAATTCCGAATACGTTAGTACAGTACATGTACATTAAATAGGATACAACGTATACACTGTTTAAAGGTTTTTGAGTAATCATCTGTTTTGCAGGATATATGTAAAAATATTCCTCTACAAATCATATAATTTTATGATTTACAAAAATTTGTACAAACAGCAATATGTGGGTTGATGTATTTAATTCTTATTTCTTGTCGACTGCTAAGATGGCTAGCTGCCTTCAGAGTGATCCAAAGTTATCACTTAAGATCATGATGCACCATGTTATAAAACCTGAAGTGGGTTTGAAGTTTACATTCCAGGGGACTTTGACAAAGTCAAGCATTGTGCCTTATGCCTTTCATAAAATAATGAGATGTAAGTTTCATTAATGAAGTAATTAGTTCTCTAGCTTTAATTATGTCGCACTTCTCCGGCCAACTAATGACGACAAGTGAGATTGGTGACATGATGGATAGGGCCACGAAATCGTACTTTCATAATTTGAAAGATCGTGTCCAAAGGCGTAAGCGGAAGCAAGGAATTCAGGTAATTTTGCGAAACGCCTGCTTACTTCTATAAGTGAACGTTTATTCAACATGTAGTAATCACAACATTGTTTTCATTTTTAGGCAAATGAAAAAGATACCGGGGGATATAACAGTGGCACTTATGTAAGTAAAATTCTATAAATGTAAATGCTCAGAATGTTCTGAGCACAATTTTTCACCCACTAATATTTTATTTTGCTTATTTGCAGGATGCTAACAGTGGATCGCACTTAACGGGATTGCAGTGACATTGTACTACAGTTTATAAATACAAAAGTCTCAATTATAAAAACTGATTTCTTCTGCAAACTAAATGAATTTCGCCGGCGTAGGACACAGGTGATGATAATAAGTAGAAGTCTTTTCGTTCTAAAGTAATGCGAGTCAGTGCTGAAAATGATCTGCGAAGGCTTGAATTAGGCTGAAAAAATTGCCATTATGTGCTGAATTTAGTCTTTTCGTTCTAAATTAGTGCTAGTCAGTGCTGAAAGTGTTCTGAAAGGGCTGAAATAAAGCTGATAAGCAAACCCGGTAGGTTCTGATCTACTCCTAACAATGCTTACAAGAAGAACACGGTTCTGAATTAGAGCTAGTTATGCTGAAAACTAGCACTGAGTTCTAGTCTGTGCCATTAAACAAACGATTTCAGAACAAATTCAGAATTTACTCACTACAGGATGCTAGAATTATTTCAGAATTACTGAGATTTAATTCAGAATTATAACAAGCTTAAGTAATGAACTTTTATTTAGGCGTGGATGAACTTCATAAAACGTGTTCAGTGAAAAGGTGAATAGATTTTCACTGGTTTAAAAACGAATCAATATGAAAGAACTTACACACAAGAAAGCCCATCATCAGCACTAGAAAGGCTGGGTCATCTCTGGCCCACTGTTGCCGTGAACCTACAAAACATATCACACATTATAGACAAGTCACATACATTTACGGTATTTAAAATTTCTAAAAACACGCTGTGGTCCAACAAACAGCTGCCACATTTGCCAAATAGCATACTCAAAGTCCATATGCCCAACATGAGCCAGCCGACGAAAGTATCGACTACGCTTCTCTGCAGCAGATAATATCTTCCTGACTGAGTGAGTTGTACATGAGTTTGAGCAGTCAAATATCTTGCCGAACATTGGTTTTGCGGTCTTATCAACGAACTTAATGCAAGTTGACTGTCCAGAATCTGTCATCAGAAGGCATAACGTAAAGCTTCTTAATTGGCGCCACAAAACACAACTCTTTCAGAATCAGATGATAAGGACAGTAAGCTATTGTGGCCTGTGTTAATCTTTGCAAAATATATCTCTGCAGAAATCCAACTTCTCTTTGAAATCGTTGACCGATGCTGTTGATACTACTGAATCAGGTAGGGAGTTCCAGTTGTCGATCACTCTGTGAGAGAATCTAAATTCCTCATGCATTTTAATCGTCCTCCGTTTGAGCATCTCTTTCAGGGGACGCCGTAAATTTATCCTAGAAGGGGAAAAACGTTTTGAGAGTTCAGTACTTAAATCACCCTTAAGTATACTATATGTCATAATTAAGCTGCCTCTCTTCCTTCAGTATGATAACGGGAACAGATTTAAATGTTCCATCATCCTATCATAAGGAAAGTATCAGATGCCACTAACTAATTTGTTTGCTGCTTTTTGTACCCTTTCTAAGATATGTGCCTCCTTCTTGAAGCATGGACTAGCCGCTTGCCTGCAGTATTCTAGATGAGGCCTGAAATACAGTGTGGAATCAAGCTGTAATCAAAAATAAAATATGTTGCGTAAAGTATATTGCACATAGAGGCACCTAATCGTTTGAAGGATCTTAAGAGTGCCCATAGCATTTGAAAAGCCTTAACTTGGGCTGCATTGCAATTCACAGTTGTTTTCAAATAATTGCTGACAATGCTTCCTATGTCCTTCTGTCCGTTAGCATCCGGTAGTTGTGTCCCCCAGGCAGTACGACGTATAACACTTCTGGCTTAAGTGCTTTATCGCGCATTTCCTAGGATTGATTTCCAAACTCAACAGGCTCGACCACTCAGCTAATTTATCTAGATCACTTTGTAGGGCCAACATATCATCTTTATTATTTACAGCTCTCCAGAACTTAATGTCGTCCGGAAATATTAATGAAGATGAAGAATCCCCGATAACTCATCAACGTATAATAAGAAGAGCAAGTGGTCTGGTACAGTTCTTTGAAGTACTCCACTAGATACCGCTTTCCACCCTGACAGTACACTGTGAACTCTAACCTTCTGCCTTCTATCCGTCATGTAAATCATTTGTCAGCGAAAAATTGTAAAAATGCCTACTCCATGTATACATTATTGTCATATTGATAATGCCTGCTACCTGGAGTCCCTCATGTGCTTGAAGTGAGAATATATTATCATAAGATGCATTTCATTCTTATATGGGGGAATTGACTTCTAGCCTTATTTTTCCCAAGTACCTATAATCCGTCAAACACATACTTGGGTATGTTTTGTTAACGCAAATTCATTGTCTCAATATTTCTTGATGTGGTCAGTTGAATCACAAGTTATCAGACTGTTTCCACAAACTAAACACAAAAGGAGGGCAACCACGTATTTTCAACATAAATCAAATTTATGTAACTTAAATAATACTTGTCCATGCCTGTACAATTGGCGTGTCCTACACATGTAGGAAGAATATGTATTTTGTTAAATCATTATCGTTAAATATGCTTAATAATCGTGTATGTAATATATCATATTGATGATGTCTGTAAACTGGCGTCCCTCATGTACAAAAAATCAGGATACATCATTGTTATTGTTGAAATGCTCTTACTGATTTGTGTCGGTGAAAAACCTGCTAGATATAGGGTATGAACCTTCGGAAGACCGAATGGTTAAAGTCTCAACAGCATGGAGAAGGGAGAAGAATCCAGATAAGCCTTTGACAGAAAACTGGAAAGTGTTTTAATGGAGTATTAGTGATTTCCGGTTGTTCAGCTTGATACGCCTCCTGAAACAACACTATGACCAACTGTACAGACGAAAAAATTCCCTGGACTAAGATGGGAGGAATGTCAGATTTAACCATAAGGTTTCTTCTATCGAAACACGGAGTATATGCAGTTCAAAAATTTCAGGAATTCAAGCTACAAATAAATAAGCAATTCTGATTGGTTGTATGAAATCGCGAATAAAAACGAAAGCAATCAATAAAGTCCAGTCAGCTTCTTATGTCAGTGCATGTCCCAGTCATGAATTCACGGCTAACAGCAAAAGTTTGTCCGTCCTGGCAATAATCTTCGTGGGCAGCACTGCTGTGTCGTCAACAACAACCTGATGGGCATACGTGAAACTAATCCTGTAGTGTTTCCGGTGAGGAGACAGAAACTCGGTTTGGAGATGTCCCAGTGTTGTGACGTTATTAAACCACTGGTTGTACAACAGTTCTCAGAACACTCTACATGGCCTGTTAGGGTAGTACAAGGATCGGGGTGGTTGCTTAAGGAGTGGAAGCGGGCGATATTTCCCTTGCTTTCAGCGATTCAGGGCGCCGTATTGCAACAAGCTACAAAACGGAGGCGCCACTTTCAGAGGCGTGAAAATTATCGCAAAGCCTTATAGACGATTACATCAGGTATAAAGTTGGCACCAACGATGCACTGTTCGGAGTGTGACATGGTTGCAATAGGAATCTAACATGTACAGTAATTCTACAGTTAGTATGAATTACTGAATGTCATACTGTGGTGTGAACGTCCTAGTTTATGTGATCTTCATCAATTTTACAAAGATGTTTGACACCGTTAAGAACGAGCTTCTTCACACGACAGACTAGGCACGTGTTGTCGACCCACTTCTCCCACGAGTGATTGATTACTTAAGTGCAAAAGAATTTTGTAGCAAATTTAGTCTTGTCTGAGAGTTTTATCACACTTTGGCCATGGAAATCTCACAAGATTTCATCCAAAAGCCCCTGGTATTCTTCATTTTCACAAACAGTCTGCCACGCCGTCTGAACTGACACACTCTTCCTTACGCCTGTGATGTTAAGGTTTTATGGGCAGCGAGATGTGAAGAATAGTCGATCAGGCTGCAAGCACAACCCTATAGGGCAGAGCAAAGTGTCGGTAATATGTCATTCAGCCTTACAATGAGCAGATGGCACAGCTATACAGCCTGTTAGCACAGTGTAATTCGCCTAATATGTGCCAATAATTTGACCTGTTTAGCGTCAGAGTGCAATTTGAGTATCCTTCGAACTGAAAAACCGGATACAAGTGCAAATGACTTAGACGACACAGTCAAGGTATATGTGGCCATATATTTCACGCGTGGGAAGTTGAGTACACTTTTGAGCTTTTCATAAGTCCATTTAAAGCATATATGTGACCATGCCTTGAGGAATGTAATATCACTGCTTGTGCAATCACTAAGAACACTCCAATCTCTCCAACGAAAAGGCATATATCGCATATGCTTTTCAAATAAAATTTTCCATCGAAAATGTTTTCCTTGAGTACGCATCATTGGCGGCATCATATTCTTTAGGCGCAGTGCATTTATTGCATTTTTTCAGAAAATGTTGTTTGATACTGATATCTGAGCAATGTAATGGATTAAAGGAAGTAGTATATTCAAAAGCCAGACGTATAATATTGAATTTCCTTGTAATCATGCTATATTCGACCTGTTTACTGCAACATCCAAGTACCCACCATAAAAGGTATAGCCAATTTTAAAAAGAGATATGCCATATAACCACCAGTCCACCTACTTGCTGCACTTTTGGTGGATGGCTCTACTCAGGACCTGCATAGTTAAACAGCAGCATAAAGACTATATCAGGGTGGATAATTTACAACGTAAACTGAAATGTGTCTCCACAAGCTAAATTCTATCTATAGGTCTCATCTGAACTCATCCTCAACTCACGCGCAACTTGTATTGTCTCACTCCACCGCTTCATGTGTTCGCCCGTCCACTTACTTACTGACCAGGAATGAACAGCAACTACTAATTCTGAGGCGGACTTTCCGATGACCTACCTCCAAAAGAATTCGTCGAAGGGGATGAATATTTATGAGACGCACACATGGGAGCGGCTGAGTGACGTTAAGATCCAGGACGTTGATTGTAGCCGGGACGGGAAACGACAAGATGAACTGCCTAGTATGGTTTTCAGGAATTTCCCCCAAGAACAGATGGCAGTCTGTGGTAAGCCGTAGACCCAGCTGGGGAGGACTGGGACAGCAGGTTGAAATGAAGGTGCAATGTTGCGTACCAATCGTCCAAAAAGAACCCTATGAGGCACAGCTCGAGTTTCACTGTAACACGGTGTTGACAACTGTCAGTATGTCTGTTAGCCACGGATGTCACTGTTGAATTAGCTATTCTACAGTTCACTCTGTTTAGAATTCCCAATTTTCTGGCCGCCCTATATTCCTTGCAATCGGTACACATGAAAGTCGTGTGACAGATATCGAATAAACCAGCTACTAGGTTGGATTCGTGGGAGTAGAGATGGATTAAGGGTATATATTGGCTGGCAATTTGTTCTCCAAAAGTAAACTATACATATTTTAAAGCTAATGCTGTCTCGAGGATTTCCAGAGGTGGTGTATTTCCACACAGAGTTGAGTAAGAATTATATGGAAGTCGATGAGTGACATTTGTCCCAAGGTGCTTCAATATTCCAGTAGCCAGCTCCGAAGTAATCTTCAAGTGGTGGGTCTACTAATAATGGACGAACTCCATGAAAAGACTAACGCCTGTCAATGCACGGAAATCACCTTTAGACCTTAAAGTGCGAATGGGTGTTTGACATGTATACTAGTCCTTGATCTTGGATACGAAGAACACTAACACAGCAGTCTACCGATCAAATTTCATCACACTTAGGATAACTTTGACCAAAAGCCGCGCTCCAAAATGAACTTTCAGATACCAGGAAGTGAATAATAATAATAATAATAATAATGTATATTCTCATATAAACATATAAATTCACATGAAAATGCATGCCATTTTTACAGGCACGATCAAGTATGATATAATATCAAATCGTAGATTGTCTACAAGTTAATAATGTTTCAACAGTTAAATATTTGATATATATATAAATACACTCATTGTCTGAACCAGGCTATATAGTTATGGAATTGTACAATTGTCCTCCAGGTTGAGCGGGAAAATCGACTTCGTTTCGTTTGCATCCCGTGGTTGTCGGCATACGATAACCAACCAATATTGAGGTAAGTACAACGTTTACAAGGGATTGAAAGCTGTTTTAGAAAAGTAAAAGTGCTGAGGTGAATCAATAAAGTGTAATGAAATAGGTAAGTGCAAGTATCATTAATAAATGCATTAAAAAAAAAGAAAACTCC